CCCACTAATATGTACAACTTCTAGTTTTTATGCATCAGTTTTAAAAATAGAGTTGGCGGCAGTAGCTCAGTGATAGTGTGCTTAGCATATGTGAGGCCCTTGATTTAATTCCTAGCACCAAAATAAATACATTTTAAGTTTTAAAAGGAAGATAGAAAATATTCTTCTTTAATTAATAGACTGTGACTTACCCTACAATTGGAGTACTCAAAACTGAAAGGACACTAAACAAAATTAAATCTTGTACTGGTGATTAAGACACACACAAATCCAATCTTCAATCCCACCTCAGCCCTGGGCCCTGAGTATTTCTCAGAAGCCTCAGAAATTCTGGGTGAGTTGTTTTCACACCTCACTGAGGTTCAGGGTTACAAAGCATCTTCTGGGATGTGTTTCATTACCTTTGATTTCTTCACCAGGCTGTTGTCTCCTAATACAACCTTAAACCGAGAAGAACAAAATGGTGCTGTTCTCTGGGGTCCACACTATCTTGGAATACACTGTGTTCCTAGCAGAAATGGGAAGAGAAGCTATTTCCCTGCAAGCCTGCCTCATAGACTTTGAGGTCTTCCTAACTCTCCTCTGTTGATTCTTCCTGCCTTTGGAGGCTAAGTTTCTCCTTAAGGAGCTTTCCTCTGCAGGCAAAGCTGCCAGACATCTCTGGGTCACCAGCACCACCAATGTGTCAAACAGGCCCACATTCTATTTAGGACCACCCCAGTGCTCCTCGGCCTCTCCTGCCAGGCACCTGCTTCATAATTGGGGGACTATGGAGTTTATTGTCTAAACCAGGACACTTCTGAGAGTGCTAAAATGCTAAACCAGATGGTACTTCAGGACAACATGCATAAACTAAGGATGTATGGTCACCCTACTCAAGACTGTAATACAATGTGATAAATGCAATAATAAAAGTTTAAGCACTTTCGAGTGGAGACATTTTGAATGTAATGCATGGGCCAAAGGATCAGATTTGTTTCCAACCCAAAACATCTCTAAGTTATTTTCCAGTTGGCATCCATGATAAAAACCACTCTGTTCAGCTGGGAATGTTTGTGTCATGCCACACAGCAGAGTCCTGGATTTTGGAAGAAACAGTTTTAGCATCTTGGAAATGTATTTTGTAACTCAGATTTCCTGTAGGGGAGTTAATTTTGCAGTTTGGTCAATACCATGAGAAACTGAGTCTCAGAAATATCTGAAAACAATTGTGGAAAGATTTAACTGAAAATAATGATAATGGAATCAAAATTATAAGTAAAATGTATCACTCTTTTATTATACTTACTCTGCTAAGGGCCTTTGTTCCTTAGTTCATTTGGCCTTCACAGATATATTCTAAGGATATAAAGGTGACTTCACTTCTGTGAAACACATGGTGATCAATTGAAAGCTCTTCTTCAAGACCAAGTATGCACCACTTTGCTATTCTGTGAGCTAATAACAAGTGACTTATATTCTCATAAGTAGATGTCCTCATGGTGATGTCTCCATGAAAATGATGATGTAATATTAGTCATAGTGGCAGTATTGAGAAGGAAGAGTCCACCAGAAAAAAAAGTTTTAAGCACAAAAATTCAAAGATTTTATGTTTCAAGTAACATGTAATACAGTATTAACATTTTTGGTCACAAAGCTTTCTACATGGACTATATTTCAACCATGTGTCATGTTTTGTATGATTATTACTATTATTATTTGCAATGCTGGGAATTGAACCCAGGGCCTTGCATGTGCTAAGCAAGTATTCTACAACTAAGCTACATCTCCAGCCCTTGTATGGTTATTATTGTTTGTCCTTTATGGTTTTTTTTCTACAATATGACACATTGACTTCATGTTTGTTATAATGTGAAACTTTGCCACAGAATTTTGGGCTCTTTATATTTTGCAAAAAATTAATTGAAATACTCCAGAAGATGGTTGCACAAATAATGAAATCTCTTGATGTACTCCTTAAAATATATGTTGATTTAGTGTTCTTATGGATAAGGAAAATATTAAACCTTTAAATGTTTTCTATTTTAAAATTGTGGATGAATGACTAAGGATGTAGTTTAGTGGTAAAGCACTTGCCTAGCATGCAAGATGCCTTGGGTTTGATTCCTAGCAATGCTATAAATAAATAAATAGATAGATAAATAAATAAATAAGAAGACCCTATCTCCCACCAAGGTATTCCCATTTCCTTGTCCAAAGTTTTTTTCTTTTTAAAGTTCTGAGATTGATTTACTAAGAGCCACTGTCATCTTAGGTCTGTGGTAACTGATTTGCAACATAGTAGATGCTTTCACAGTGTTCTCTTCTTAGGTTATTTTCCTTTGAGTAATATTTAGACCTTCAGATGAAGTTGCACCAACACCAGCAACATTATCATGGCCTTGTAGCCCTGAACTCTCTATTAAATATAACTCAAAGGTTATTCTCTAGGTTGAACTATGGTAAAAGTTCATGCTTTAATAAAAATAATGTCAAAAAGCAAAAACAAACAAAAAACCTCAAGAGAAGGAAAGTCTGAGTTCCCATTATAATCTATTCAATTATTTATAATCTTAGTTTCTTTAAAAGTTTTCCTTTTTTTCTCCTTTTTAAAATATAAAGTCCATAAGTCTCTTTAGGATTAACTTTGAGGATAATTTGCTATCAGTGGGAATGGATAATAGCTGGTTTCAATTTCTTCAATTTAATAGCACTTTATTACTTAAAACCTTTGAATTGTCCTTTCTTTTGTTTAGACTAACTGTAAGTAAAATCCTTCTTCTCCCCATACTCCTGTCCCAGTACTGGGAATGGAACCCATGGGCTTGTGCCTATTGGGTAACTGCTCTACTACTGAGCTCCATCCCAGGCCTAAAATCGTTTAATAATAAAAATCAATTTAAGAATGAATTTTTCACTAGTAACACCATAACAGTCTCTTTTCTTGACTACATTAAGATCTACAAGTAAATTTTATACAAATAATTTTTTTATGAAATACATCATAGTTACTAATAAAGTCATTAATTCAAACATGTATGTCAAATATATGTTTGCTATAATTAATTCATGCATTTTCAATGTACTGAGGATCACTACAGCTAAGGAAAATATGTAAGGAGAAAAATTTCTACATTATGTACTAAAATGTTAATATTCTACTGTGTCCTGGAGGTGGGGAAGGTGGGAACATGAACTGGGAGGAATTGGAGATAGCATCTTCACTTACAGCAATGTTCATCTTTAACATCTCATTCTGAGATCTAAAGAACACCCTTCTATAAACACAGGTCTTGATTTCAGATGATAAATAAACACAGGAAAATATCAAACTCTGCATTTAAAATTTTCTTCAACTATGTCTGCATCCTCTATAAACCATGTATCAAGGAAGGGAAGATTTAAAAAAATCTTTTGGGGAAATCTAGACATAAATAAAGATCCAATTTTATTTGGGAAAAAAATGTCAAATTGTCTCAAAGAAGAGGTCTGATTAAGGAATTTTAATTCCTCAGTGTAAGGGTGAGGTGGTACTTAAGAGGTTTCTCAAAACAAAATATAAGCATGATTTCATATATGTGTTGATTGGTGTGTTTGGCTACTTGTTACCATGGACATACTTCTAAGGTGTTTGCGTTTTATACACTAACCCCGTCATATTAACAAACCAAAGTGTGAAACCCAAGTTTATCTAGGTAAATTTGGATAAAATTAACCCAAGGCTCCCTGGGCCGTGTACAAAGCCAGATGTACAGAACCTTAGAAAGATTTCTATAATATGCACATCTGGGGGCACAGAGAAATAAGCAGAGGAAATGAGAAAAAATGTTTAAGATAAGCTTGGGGATCTTGCAGATGGGCCTCTGAGGAATACAGCTGGCTCACTTCTTTCCTAGGAGATGAGTCTCTAGCAAGAAATGATTTGTTAAAATTAAATACAAGAAGTATTCTGACCATTTAGTTATTAACTGTGACAAACAGAGACATTTGTAACAAGATATGCTGGAAAATTTCACTCAAGATATGCCCAAAAGCTGATATTTGCATATTAGCTGCCAGGTTTGCACACTTTGCCACCTAGTGGATCAACTGAAAACTACAGGATTTTCTATGGCTAATGATTAAGTTCCACAGTCTTCAGAAAAAGTCCTAACTCAACCTAGGGTAGGTATTTGGTTTGTTTTACTTTTTGGGGATCCTAGAGTAGTGTCTGGATATTAACAGGCAGTTAATAAATAGCTGTTATATAAATGATGAGCATTCACTAGAGGTGTACTACACTTAAAAGAATATTGTTACAGGGAATATGTAATTGAAAATTAAGTCTCAAAATGTTGTTGCTAAAATGTATTTCCAAACTAAAAGTAAAGTTCTGAATTATTTAAAAAGTAAATAGGGAGGTTATATTCTCATGTTATGGGTGTATCTACATAACTCATTTGGATGTGTCTCTATTGCTCCATGTAGGCAGATAATTCAGATAATTTAATTTAGATAGTGAAAGCCTACCCCTCTTTCATCCCAAATGCCCCTAAATAAAATTAAATCTACCCTGGAATATGTCCTTTCTTCTTTGCCTAAAAATTATTCCTAGGTTTATTCTTGCTTTGGACTGTAGTGTTTGTTATACTCCTTTTTTGCTGCTCAAAATTTGAAACCTTTTAATCTTCTTTTTAAAGAAAAAAATATGCATACACATATATGACTATATGTACATTTTTTTTGTTTTCTGTTTACAGAATAACATTTTGTGTTTCTCTTTTAGTGAACTATAGGTGTAAATGACTCTTAAGCATATTTCTTCTGGCATGAAGATTAGTGATTAAAAAAGCAAAATGATCATTATAATTTTAAGTAGAGTTTTCCTCTAATAAGTGCTTGATTTTTTTCATAATTCTTTATTAATTAAAAATTTCAAAACATTTATATATTTTCACAAAGATGTAAAGAAATGTACATGGAAACCCTCTATCTCCTTAGCTTGTTTCACCAAATTCAGTATCTTGCATGACTACATTACTGAAAATATAAAATGCTTCACAAATTTGCATGTCATCTTTGAGCAGGGGCTATGCTAATCTTCTCTGTACAATTCCAATTTTAGTATATGTGCTGCCAAAGCGAGCATAAGTATTCGATTTTTGAGACTTTAAAAAAAAAGAACTTTAAAAATAAAAATATTAGATTAAGTTTTAGCACCTTAAAATTTATACTGGAAAAATTGACTAGATAATCCACCAAATTTCTTTCACAGAATTATTTTTCATTCTAAATCAGCCAATAAACAAACAAATAAAACCCCATATGCATGACATAATGGTATGCCAACAGTTTGTTAAAAGAACTTATTCTTGTTTTCAAATTAATATGAACTTAGATTGACAATAATAATACATTTTATAATATATTACTGAGATATAAATTTTATTTTTTATTAGCTGAAACAGTAGCTGTTCATTACATCAAACTCATTTTATATTTCATAGAATTAATATTCTTCCCAGAATTCATAGTTTTAAACAAATATGCACACATTTTCAAGTAAATATAATATCCCCAAATAACAATTACTTTATTTTGATAGAGTCAATGGAAAACACCTTAAATACAGAGTCACAACAGAAAAACTTTCAAAGCCACATGTGAAGAAGCAGAATTTTTTTTTTTTTTTTTTTTTTTAAGAAAGAGAAAGATGTGGACTAGGGAGCTGCAGAGTGGTAGAGTGTTTATCCAGGGTGCTCAAGGACCTGGGTTCGATTTCCACCACTGCCTGGTGCCAGGGGAAGGGGTTATTAATTAAAATATACAGTCTGAAGACTTTGAAAGCAGTTGCTTTCTAAGGCAATTTTTGCCCCTCTGACATAAAACAAAGTTTGAGTAACACTTACATAACTACTATAATTTCTTAACATAGATTTCATATAACATTAATATGCACATACTAAATAACAAACATGCAAGCACTATAGTTAAGAATAACATTTTAATTATATTTTAGTGTATGTTTTTCTCAATTATATCCTCAGGTTGAAGTCTACAGCATTCATCTGAACCAGCTACATATCTCATTTTCATAAGGGTCCCGGGAGGCCATAGTCATACATTATTACTTCAGCCTTCACAAAAGCAATGCTGTACAGAACTCTGTACTGTAATAGGCAGCACAGAGCACTCACAATTTCAGTTCCTGTTACATTGACAAGACTCCTTCAGGTAAGAGATTAGAACATTCCTTTCTTTTTATAAGGTTAGTGACCATTTTAATGCAATAAGAGGATTATTCTTGTTTCACTGGGGATAGGAAGTTTGTGCTGTGAATGTGTGTGGTAGATATTTTTACTCTCTTACGCTGGGTTTCCAGAAGTCCTCTGTAGTTCAGAATAAAGCTAGCTCTATAATCCCAATGTTAATAAGAATTTCAAAATTAATTTCTCTCCCTTAATATGCATAGCTTATGTGGGGAAAATGGTGAGGGTCACCCAATTATTCACCCATGTGAAGTATAGAAATAAACCCCACAAATACAAATTCTAAAGTTGCAGAAACACTTTCAAGTAGTTAATTCTTTCAAATTTTAAATTTTAATATTTGCTATTTAGGCAAAAATTCTCTCATTGGGGAGAGCTTTGAATTAAGGTAAGTGATATTACATTTTCCCATTTTTGATACAAACTATAAATATCATAAGTGAATTTCATAAAAGTACAATAGTAATAATTGACACTTTAATAGGGTTACATATGAAATGTATGATAGATTAGTTTTGCTAGGAAGATTTATACAGGCATTTTTTTTATCATGCTTCATGCTGTTTAATGTTTTCTTGCAAATATTCATTGATTATTTTCCAACCCATGCCTGAGAATTAAAAAGAAAAAGTTGTGTAACCCAAATTTAGCTGTTCTTTCCTGGGGTAAAGAACAGAGGGGAATGATTGCAATTTCTAAAATATAACCTTATTTTTTTTTCCTGTTGTGTATATCCTCCCAGGTAGTTGAAAAGCTTTTGTTTCAAAATAACTGTGTTTAAAAGCTGGACATACTATTTGCTACTATGATGCTATAATTTGATAAAGGAGCAATACTTTTTCTGCAAAGTAAAATTCTATAACCAAATGACATAAGTTTAGAAAAACTGTAAAATGACTAAGAGAACTAAATTTTATTTAATTTTAAATGTAATTTCTTAACTGCAATTGCTCCCATAAAAATCATGGGAGCCTTTTGGATTAAGCGGCATATATGTTAAGTGGCATATATATTCTTTTGGAAACTCTTCTTTTAGTCCCCCTCCCCACGGTGTTCTGCCGCATAACTAGCATAAATCATACCTGATCTCAATATCTCAAGTGTAGCATCAGAAATCCCCAAACCTTAAAAACGACGTCGTTTTTAACACATTTGGAATGATATTTATGAAAAGGGAGGGTTGAAATTTTGGAGCTTCTCTGCGCCTGACCTTGGATCTATTTTCACACAAGTATCTTTTGTGACTTTCCCCAGAACTAAGCAAATCTTAAATGGCCTTCGGGAGTGGGGGATGGAAGGCCTTCCCCAGCGACCTGTGGGGTCCACTTCTTCTCCCTCCAGGTGAGTGGGGCGGCAGGTGACAAACAAGAAGCTATTGCTGACGTGAGGAAAAGAGGCTAAATTCCTCCAAGATTCAAGGACCTTATCTTCCCGAAGCACTGAAAGCCTCTCTCTCTCATCCTTCATCTCAGTCTATAGCGCAGCTTGGTAGCCCGTCTGGGGGGACTTTTTCTGCACGTCTGCTTCAGTGGTGGGGAGGGGTGGGGGTTCCAGATTTAACACTGAAGGGAAAACAGCTCGTTCTGCCCCATTCTCGTCCTACACCACGTCCGCGACACTCTGTGGGATGAAGACTGCCAAGAATAGGTACCGAGGGAGGAGTACTGGATGACAGAGTTCAAGCGATATCTGAAAGTGTAAAGAAGGACAGCACCCTCCTTGGTCCCAGGTGAATTATTTGCCATCTTTCTTAGCCGTGTGTTTTTGTTTGGCAATAGTTGTGACATTGATTTTTGAACTGATGGATCTAAATCTGAGTGGCCGGGAAGGAGCCTGGAAGAGTCAAGTCAGCTTCCACCCACCCTACACATATGAGAGGTCCCATGGCAGGAATCCGTGTGGCTGCCAGGGCCCCCACCCTGGGTCTTCAGTGCAAAGGCGTTTGCCTGGCAGATCTGGAGGTGCAGTGGAAAATGCAGAAGCAGCCTGCTAAGAATTGTGAATGGAGAGACAAGCGCTTCAGGATCTCACTGCTTAAATAAAAAATTTTTAAAAAATTAAAAATAAGAAAGAAAGAAATGAAAAGAAAAGAAAAGAAAAGAAAAAGAACGATAACTGGTTGGAACCAGTCTTACTTCTTCTTAGAGTCCTTGCAATTTGGCTGCTTGCCTGACGCCGCGAGCTATGTACGGCAGCAGCCGCTGCAGCGTCCTAGAGTTCACGTCTTAAAATAAACCATCAGGAATAATTCCATCCCGAGGCAAACGACCCCGTCCCTCCCCCATCCCCCAATGTCAAAGCAACTCTAGGGCTGGTCGTTCCCACCGTTCATAGGAATCTGCTCCTGGGGATTGGACGCAGCGGGGACTTCGTAGCCCTCTGCATCCGGAGCTCTGCTGGGCACCAGGCACTAGCACTCGCCCCAGACTCATCCAACCTCCCTTTGGGGGTCTGCGGCTGGGAAGGAAGTGGACATGCTTACAGTCAACCGAAGGGTTGAAATGGAGTCCAATGAAGCCGGAAAGGCTGAAATTCCTGAGCCCTGAAGCTGTAAAGCACCAGATAGGGAAACTGGGAAAAGACGTGCGGGTTGATCCATCCTCTGGTCTTATTTTTAACTCCCGCGCTGTTCCCTGCACACTCTAGCTTCGGAGGTTTACGGTTGGCTAGAGTCACAAGCGCATGAATAGAGATGGTAGGTGCAGAGCTCTCTGGCTCGCCCTGGACACCACATCACAGGCAGTTAACTGCAGGGGGTCCAGGGGATATTTCCCAGCCCGGAATCTATGCCAGAATCTTTGTATTTGAATGTCCTAGATAGGGCCACATACATGCTTGCGCTTTTAACAGGCATGCAAAGGGCCCAGTGGGGAAAATGCTCTAGCAACCTACCGAGGGATGACTTAAAGATTGCCCTACAAACAGAGAATGAAAGAGCTCATCATCCCATTTTGTGCACGGGAAACCTGAACCTTTCAAGGTTAAAGTGACATGTTCAAGGTTACACAAAGCTCTGGTAAAACTAATCCTAAATCTCTCACTTCTTGGCCCCCCGCCTCCATCAGCCCGCTTGGAAAACTCAGTTTTAGAGATATCAAGAAGATCTGAGCATGTCCATATGGAAGGATTCACTGTTTGCTGTCAGTGCAATTTATCAGCATAATTTCAATATGATAATTTCCAATCATGGTTCTAGGAATGTAGTTCAGATCTTCTTTCTCATTCTATCTTACAAAATCAGATAAAAGGTATCTCAAGCAAAGATAGGCAGATATCAGTATTTTAGATACCTAGTCACTGGGTGGTGGGTTACTCGTACTTAACTAAGTCAGGAAGAGGAATTACTTCTGAGTCCTGGGCCTGGGAGGAATGGGGAGCGGCTTAGAGAAATGCTGTAATGGGAAATGGTCAGGCAATCAACTTTCACCTTCTCACAAGCTATTAGAAAAGGGACTGGCTTTTGTCCTGCAAATTCTCCCCTCAGGCAGTCAGAGCTTGATGTCATTTTGATTATTTCTCAGTATTCACATTAATTATTTTAGGACAATACACACACCTTTCCACAGAGTCAATGCAAATTGGAGTCTTTTCAGACTTTTAGTCCCCATAGTCCCTGTGCCCCCTCCCCCAAATCTGGGATAGAAAGTTGGTAGCCCTAAAATAAATTTTTTTTCTGAAGTAAAAAGGCCACAAAGTTGACTCTTTTCTTTTATCTCCTTCAAATTTTATCTCCCCTCCCCCTCTTCCTCCTCCCTCTCTGAGTAGAAGAGAGAGAAACCCCAACCTTCAACTGTCAACTTTTTTTCCAAACACCAGATTAATGTTCCCCAGGACTTGGTAGTAACGTGACCTTTCTGTTTTCAGATGTGTTTTCCAACAT